GGACATCGCCTACACGAGATACTTGCGGAACACCTAACGTCTTACCTTCAAAAGGAAAGGATCCGTGACCAGTGGATAACCCCTCGAACAATCCTGTTTCATAAGAAGGGCGATAGGGAGGATCTTCGTAACTATCGTCCAATATGCCTGCTGAGCGTGCTTTATAAGCTCTCCTCGAAGATGATTTTCACTCGCATAAGGGACACTGGGTGAAGCCCAACCTATAGAACAGGCATCTTACGTTAGGACTTTGGCCGACTGCTACAAGAATTGCTCTACAACGGTACAGCTTATCCATTGCCCCCTTAGCGTACCAAATTCAAAAGAGGTTTGACAAGGGGCTGCCGAATCGCCCGAGCTATTTACCCCCGTCTTACATTAGGTAACTTCACAGGATCGGAGCAAAAGAGGTATACGAGTTCCTCGTTTTGCGGGCAACAGTTTTCTTCTCGGGAAACATCACTGAAGCGAAGACGATGTTAAAGGAACTGAACGAAATAGGGAAGCGGATAAGACTGCGAATCAAACGAAAAAGACTGCTTAGAAAAACGCTCTTTGAGGGGTTATTGAAGTTTCATGAATTTCAGTGTTTCAATGTTCGATTGTTAGTTCTTTTACTTCCAAATTCATAGGCGTTTAGAGGTTATTCTCAAAAGCTAGCATTAATTTAGTTCTTCACCCTAAACGGATGTTTCACCAGAAATTAGGGAGTAACTGTATGTATTCAAGCGAAAAGTGCTTACCGATATCAGACGCTTGTACTCATGCACTGAGAGGGTCGGACGTGACGACGCTAGAAACTTTTATTAGAGATTTTTTGAGTTGAATCACACTATGTTATGCACAAAAATTACGGCAAATGCTCGCAACTACTTTATGCTGTCCTACCAATTCGTGGTACAAGATCCATTTACAAATGGAAATGTGAGTTTAAGTTAGCGCTTTAAAATGATTCTTTAAGGTCTAGAAAGATTGAAAAAAAAAGTTGTTAACAACCAAACAGCGACCATATCGACCATATTTTTTGGGGATACCCTTTGCTGACCTTAGTCCAGATCTGAAGCTACGGTCAAAAAAGTGCTCACTGTGGTGGAAAAATATGTCGGAGACATTTAGCCTGTTCAACCTTTACCGTATGTTCACCGTTCACTTTAATCGATTATGTCAAAATAGAGTTTAGTAAAAGAATTTTTTTGAAAATGAATAAATTTCGTGATTGAACCTGTAAGTTTTGCTATTCTCTGTAGTAGGCAGTAATTCAGTCATGCTTACCCGACTCATCAGAGTGAGTGGTTCTCCACATCGCTTTCCTCTGATTCCCTTCGT